AGAGTATCTGAGATCAACGCTCTCTCCAACAGAGCGGATCTCTGCACCTTTCTAGAGAACTGGGTCATCCTCAGGCCGGACCCCGCGTTCATGCCCAAGGTCAATTCCCCATTCCACAGGGCCCTAGAGATAGAACTGCTGGATTTCTGTCCGCAACCCTCCAGGGATAGGGAAAGATCTTGGCACAGATTGGACATCAGAAGGGCCTTGCGCATTTACCTGAAGCGCACAGCCCCCTTTAGGCATTCGGAAGCCCTCTTCGTATCCTATCAGCCATCCACCCGAGGTGCCAGAGTTTCCCCGGCCACCATTAGCAGGTGGATTAGAGCGGCCATCTCTCAGGCCTAAGGGGCATGGGGACTTCAGGTCCCAGAGGGCATCCCAGCGCACTCCACCAGAAGTGCGGCCACCTCAGCAGCCTGGTCCACCCAGGCACCCATAGAGGAGATTTGCAGGGCTGCCGTCTGGTCTTTTCCCTCATCTTTCATTAGGCATTATCGGCTAGACGCTTACGCCTCTGCGGAAGCAGCCTTCGGCAGGAGGGTGTTGCAGGGAGTCCTTGACTCTCGAGGGGCTCAGGCCCATTAACTCCCTCCTAGGACATCTAGTTTGGTATGTCCCATCTGTTACTCCTCCCACACCGCACTTCGGAAACTGGCAGTTGGTCTTACCTGAACTGCATGTTTAGAAGAAGATGTGGGAGGAGTCACTTCTCCCCTTGTGCAGGGCGCCCTGCGCCAAGGGCCTGAGTTAGCTCAGTGGTCAAGCAATAGCAGACAGGAGGGATTTGTGTTGTGCTGTTCTTTGTCTGTCCTTCCTTTAGGAACGTAGGTGTGGCCTCAAAAGATTACCTCAGTCTCCTAGGCAAAAGGGCTGGGTTAATACCATTGGTTACTCCTCCCACACCTTCTTCAAAACATGCAGTTCAGGTAAGACCAACTGCCATTCTCGACTTACAACCATTCGTTTAGTGACTCTTTGAAGTTACACCAGCACTGAAAAAAGTGACTTACGACCACTTTTCACATAAGCGTTGCAGGATCCCCATGCTCATGTAATCAAAATTCGGATGCTTGGCAACTGGATCACATTTATGAGGGTTGCAGTGCCCCAGAGTCATGTAAATCACCTTTTGTGACTGTCTGACAAGCAAAGTCAATGGGGAACCTAGATTCACTCAGCAACTCTGTTACTAACTTAACAAGTGCAGTGATTCACTTAACAACTCTGGCAAGAAAAGATGTAAAATGAAGCAAAATTCTATAACTATCTTGCTTAACAACAATTGAGCTCAATTGTGGTCATATGTTGAGGACAATACTTTTGTCAATGGTTCTGAAGTACTGGAATATCATCCAACAGAATATATGAAAAACAAAAATCAGTTTACTTCCAAAATCTAGGTTTTCTATGTGAAACAGTCTCTTTTTTCTTGCACCATCTGAGAATTTCAGCATGAGATTTTAAATTTCTTCTGCTAGCTGGATATGAATTGGCATGCACACATTGAATATACCTTCTTATAGAAATGTAAAGCCTTGCCTGTATCAGAAGCAGAGGAGAAGGGTACTGGGCTACAATGGCATTGGCCATCTCCAGACTGACTCGGTTGAGTTGCTGAATCTGTCTCTTCCATACCTGAAGCAGTCCTTTTCCAGTACGATCCACTTTCACACCTCTACACCAGTCTCCCTCAAGGCAGAAGGAGAAGCTGGTTTTATTTTTTTCCTTTCTACAAAAAACGACAAGGAAGAAATGTGGCAAAATATTGAAACAAACCATCTCTTGTGATGTTTTTGTTGCTGTATGCAAATCAAAAGCTGGAAGATGGGATCTTCATACAGATGCCATATTTGAAGTCGGGCACTTTGTTTGACGGAATGATATTTGAAGGAATTGGATTACTTCGAGAGATAAGCACAATATGGGCCAAACTCGTCTCTTTTCTAAAACATCTGGCAAACACGTGCTTCATTACTTTGCCTACATCTTAATTGCTAAATTTTGGTGTAAATAACCCCTTTCGTAAGGCATCTACCTATAGTGCGCAGTGACACCAAGACTTTCCTTGCAAAACAGACAAAGATGATTTGTGGTAGAAAATTAGAAATGAAATAAAATAGGAATAAGACGCAGATTACGGCAAATGTATCAGGAATTCACAGAATGTATTTATTTAATGGATTTTTTAGGGCTACCAACTCAAACAATTGAGTAGGCAGTATACAACACAGAGAATAAACGGGAAAAAAGCTAACATTAAAAAAGCAACCCAAAATATAAAATAAAAACCAAGCACGGCAATGAAACAAACAAATAGAGACAACTCCGCTGGTCACAAATGTCTGGGGAAAATAGTTCTTAATGGCTTTTCTAAAAGTAATCATATTTGGGTCTTAAAAAAGGGAACCTTGAGCATGGCCTCCTCGTAGGGGTATATGGGGTGAGCAGGTGCTCCTGAAATCGAGTAGGGCTTTAATGCTGATAACCAGGACTTTGAATTGCACTTAGAAGCCTCTTGGGAGCCATGGCTGCTCATGAAGTAGCCATATCACATAGATACAACAAGCTGCACTGTGCAACGTTGCATTCTGGACCAGATTCAGGTGCTCTTCTAGTGAAGCACCATGCACAGATGCTGCAATCGTCCTATCAGGAATGATTAAAGCACAAGTGACCATGAGCAAATCCTGTCCAGGAATGTATGCAATGGGTATACAAGATAGCCTTAGATACTATGCATATACTCTTTGTTAGCTCACTCACTTGAATGGGGCTTCAGCCACAGCCTTAGTGAACATACTAGCAAATTCTCCAAACTCCTTCCAGCTTGCAAGCACTTGAACCTGGACACCTGTGTGAAGCTGCAGCTCGACCAGAGCCTGAAAAAGCAAGGATGAAAACAGACGTATCTTAAAAAAAAAAAAAATCAAGAAAGACACTAGACATAAGTTACTATTTCATAACGGGTGGCACTATTTCCTTCAGGATGGCCACTCTTCCAGCTCATTGGATCCAAAAACATTTCCCTCTGCCCCCAGTAGTTCAGAGCGTCGTTATCTCTTTTTGGCCGGCATATTCTGCTGTCCTTCTGAGTACCGTTTTATAAGGCAGTCTTTTCTGATCCAGTGCCTTTCAGTTGTATTCGGATCACAACTCCCCAAATTCCAAGCTAGCACTTGGCCACTAGGAAGAGCACCAGATCAGAATGAACAATTCTGTGATTAGGATGAATGGGGATGGAATTAAAAGTTTCCTGGAATCTAGAAATAGCTGTATAAGCTGTGTTCTTTCATAATTTAAGTATGCCATCTTAATGCTGAACAAAAACAGACTTCAAAACCCATTAAATTGCTATTTATTTATTTATTTATAAAATTTATATGCTGCCCAATCCCGAAGGACTCCGGGCGGCTTACAAAAAAGAGAAGAAAAAAAAATTGGCTAGGGTTGCTTCTCTAATGTCTGAATGTCATGATTCCTGGCATCCTTCACTCACCTATCTCCCTTGCTGACTGCATCATGCAGTCTCCTCCTTTCAATCTGTGCATCTGAAGCCTACCTTATTTAGTTTAATATGTGGATGTGTATTGCAAGGAGAGACATTTCAGGGTTCACCATTAGCCTCCCTTGGAGATTGAAGCCTGATCTGGCAACAGAAAAAACATCATTTCCAGAAGAGGTGATGATCCCAAGGAAGAATCTGAGACATGGCCAAGATAGCCAGCCACCCAACCCTCTGCACCAGGTTTACTTACTTCTTCCACATCCAGCCTAGACAACTGAGAAACTGGAATGGCCTTTTCTTTCCGTTTCCTTGGCTTGCCTTCCTCCTGTGCCTTGCTGCTACTTTGCTCTGCTTGCTGCAGCTTCTTTTGTGACTTGGGTTTCTGAGAACTGAAGACACAATTCAATTCACTGATGTATACATTAGTGGTGGGATTCAATTTTTTTCACTACTGGTTCTGTGGGCATGGCATGGTGTGGCTTGGTGGGCATGGCAGGGGAAAGATACTGCAAAATCCCCATTTCCACCCCACCCCACTAACCTGCTTTCCAGCTCCATTCTGCACAGGGCAACAGAAGATGATGCAGCCAATCAGCTGGGACTCGGGAGGCAGAGAATGGATGGGGGCGAGGCCAGTCAGAGGTGGTCTTTGCCGGTTCTCCGAACTACTCAAAATTTCTGCTACTGGGTCTCCAGAACTGGTCAGAACCGACTGAATACCACCTCTGGACTATAAACCTTGGATTCATTTCAAGGAGATCATCTCAGCTTCTGAAACTGTAGCCGTGGATGGGCAATGTCTGGGGAGGTGTTAGGAGATAGCCGAACTCTGGCCTTTTGGGTTGTGGTACTCTGCTCTAGAACTACTTCCTAATAGAAGTGTATTCCCAATATTTTAATGTCAGCTGCTGTTGGAGCTGCATCTTTTTATCTGGGCCTCCTCTGAGAGGTTAACCATAGTATCAGCCTAGCCAATCCAATCTGCAGGGTGGGTACACTCCGGACTACTTTAGTTAAACAATGCCATCTAGTGGGATCCCAGGACTGTGCCTTCTTAAATGAGGTTCCCTGAGATTTGAACAACCCCCACCCTAAGGTGTTTCCCAGGGCCTCAAAGATCAAATTATGAGATTTCAGAGGGTAGGAATTTCTTCCGTGTTTTAAGCAGTAATTTATCTTGGAGTGGCCTGGCCTATCAAGAACAGAAAGCATCTGATTTAAAGGATCGATGTATGTCAGATAGATAGATAGATAGATAGATAGATAGATAGATAGATAGATAGATAGATAGATAGATAGATAGATAGATATTTATTTCAGAAATGAAAAGTAAATTTTAACCTGAAGTGTTTTTCTAGTTCTGTTACTGCCAATGACAATGTTTTCCCAGGAATTTTCTCTGTGATGTTCGCCACAAAACTCTGCAGTGTTTCAGATGGACTTTCCATCCTAGGCTGCAAAAATTCAAAAGGTCAGAAAGGATAGTTCTTTAGCTCTTTGGACTGAAGCAAAGACGTGCAGCCCTTCCAGCCTCTTAGACACAGCTCAGATGATTTCTCCTGCTAAAGCAACAGAAACGCCTTGGTGGACTATTCCAAAGGATCATTTTATCCAGCATTTTGCATTGCGCAGTGTTGACCCAATGCACTTGACTAGCCCATCCTGAGAACCAGAGATCGTTCTCACTGTGGCTTCCCAGCAAGAGGAGGAGATATTCAGCAACTAGGCCTGGTGGCCACTGAGAGCCCACTGCTTTGGAAATCAAAATGCAATGCCCAAAGGAAATAATCAAGGTGCATAGCAGTGTTAGTTAGACAGTACATTCTGTAGGGAGTCTCCTCCTAAAGAGAAGTCAAAAAGATGCATTCATATTTATACGTGTCAGAAAGGAGACGAAAATGCTGCATGCATACATGTCCATAAATAATAGCATAATAAATCTCAAGATTATTTCTTGCCCTTCTGCTATCTACAAATAAATTTTGGATTACTTCCTGCCCTTCCTCAGATTACTTTCTACAGGGAATAATGGTCTTAGTTAGGAAAACAAAACAAAACATTTGCATCTTGAAATTCAAGAGTTGCAATGGAATGTACTGATAAGAACTTACAGTAGGCCACTGTAAAGCTAAATGTAGCAAAGCCACATTCTTTTTGTTTCAAATCCTTTCCATTCTAGTGAAAACTGATGTTCTCCATTCCCCAATTCTGCTCCCTAAATTTGTCAAGCAAAAGCATTGCAGCTGATACACCCATAAGGAGGGCTGGTCAGTTTTGGACGCATCAACTTTTCATAATAAATGAGAACATTCACTGCCCCTGAGTCTCCCTACTCTTTATTTCACAGTGGGAAATCTGATTCATTATTTAAAAAACACGTGTTGTATGTTGTATTTTAGGACAAGAGATTTTTGTTTTGCTTTGCGCTTTTAGGGTTGGACATTGCTAGACCGATCTTACCTGCTTGCCGTTATGAATCATTGCAATGAAGTCTGGGAGCAGCACTGGCACTAGGACATTGGGTTCCTCCATCCAGTTGTCTTCTTCAGCCTTCAAGCCAAAGCATACATTTAAAATAGGAAGGACAAAAATAGAAGGACAGTTACCCTTAGTGAAAAGGAACAACAATTAGGTCATGGCCAGGATTCCTTCAGAAGAAAAGATTAACCAAGGAAACTTCATTAATCAAAACTACCAAACAAAAGACTGCGGGGGAGGACACATACTATCATACCTGTGCTAGGCCAGTTCTCCTTCTCCAGGTGATGCTGCAGGGCACAATTTGGCTCTCAATCACATAGCTACTCTCCATTGACTGCAAAGCAGCAAGGATCTCATCCGCACCATTAATCTGTAAGAGACCTATTGGAGGCTGTGATTCAAGATGGATTCCCTAAGAAGGAGAAGAACAGATAAGAAAGCCAAGTGTGTGTGTGTGTGGGGGGGAACCATACCTGGGTCTAACACTATTCCAATGTGTTTCAGACACTGCTCTGGTCTTTGGGCTTTGCGAAGTTGGGCCAAAGCTGCTTTCCTCTGTTTCTCTTGCTCCTGCAGCTGCTTCTGAGCTCCTTGCTCTTTGCCCTTCTGCAGGGCAGCCTGGCAAGCTTTGTCCAAATCCTGATGGTTCTTTCTTGTACTTGTCTGAAGAGGAAAGGACTTCAGGCATATTTGGCGGGTACCATCCTGCATCTTATTATCAGGGATGCAAACTGGGAGCTGGGGCAAGGATTGTGACTTAGCATCCCATGAATATAGCTCTTGATCACTGTCTGAAAATTCCCAAGTGCTGGGTGCCACGTTTTCTTGGAGATCTGAGCCAGCAGGTAGTGGCTCCTGCCAGCAAGTGGGCACCCATTCTTCATCACTGACACAGGGCCTATTTTGCCCACTGAGCTCTTGGGCACTCTTTGTTTGGATCTTAGTAAATGAAGGAGCGGTTGTAGAGGGTCCGACTACCAGCAACTTCCTTTGCAGCCTTTCGGCCAAGGGGACAAGCATTTCTTCCTCCTCCTCCTCCTCCTCCTCACTCTCGCTACTGAGCTGCAGTCTCACATCTGTAGAAGCAGCCATCTTGACTGAATTGCATGGACCATAGGGCTTTTTCCTGGCAGGTGAGCAAAGGAATGAATCTTCCGAGTCTGAGCTAGAGAGCACAACTATTTGGTTCTCAAGAGAAGGCTGGAGGCTGGTTTGTGGGTCAGAAGGAGGTTTGTTTACAGAAAGGAAAACTGGTAGTTCTTCACAGTTGCTCTCATCCAGTTCTGAGAACATGATGTTTAGCTTCAGGCACTGAAGAGACTGCGCTGGGTTGGAGTGGCATCTGAGGGGGGGAAAGCAAACAGTTGAATTCAACAACAGAAAGTTCTCCCTCTTCAAAAGTCACATTCCTTCAAGGATACTTGATCAGGGTCTAATGCTAGAAAAGAATCAGCCAACTGTGAGAGAGATCAATCAAAACCAAGTCACCAGACCTCAGCATTTATTTGTTCCTTCTATTCTCCTGCCCAGTGTACTCCTGCATGAGGAATGCCTATACTTCTGCAAGTCAGGATAAGGAGTGTAAGTTTCCACATTGGGTTTAGCTAATGTAATGTCAAAGCAATCTTCAGTACAGTTTCCCCCAAGTGATTCTTCTCCATGTGTGTTCGTGATATAGTCCCTAAAATTTCCAACCAGCATAAGCAATGCCCATGTTTTAAGAATTTAGAGATCCGAAGACTGTTTATCTCAAAAGATAACTGATCACACAGCTTGGAATTCTGGATGCTGTGGAAAAATACATTTGGAGTCTTGGAGCTATTTGGAGCTACTGAAGAGGTCTAGTCTGAGGAACAGGAAAAAGACACTTTCCAGCCACATATTAATCCATTGCCTTCTGTGGGCTCCCCTACTAGTTCCCAGGAGTTGCAGATGATCTGACTACCCAAGTGAAAATGGGTCATGCCCCCAGGAACTCTACAATTAGTTATTCAGCCCTGGTTGCTAAACAGTTCATGTGTGGAAGGGGGGAACACTATTATTCCTTGTGGTCACCCTATAACCCACCAAGAAACATCTGCAATAAGGGCAGCATCAAAAGTCAGTGGAGTGGACCTTTCCCACTGACCTGCCAAGGATTTATGGTAATAACTCATCGCTGATGTCTTCCTTCTATATTTTCAAAGGGACTATATTTTATCATGTATTCATATTACTAATTTGTTCTCAGGGATTATGCAATAAAAAAATTAAAGTTACCCACCAAATTGGCAGAACAGGAAGGTCTATAGAGCCTTACAAAGTGAGAGAATCAAGTTTTCAGGGGAACTCCAAAATTCCATTTTTCTGGAATTCCAAAAAACCAGGGACCATTACAATAAGGGGCCATAGCAGTTCTTTTGCCCACTTCTCCCCCAGTCATTTGTCTGCCTGAGGGTTTTTAATGAGTCAGAATGCAAGATCTCAAATATCATCATCTATCTTTTCTTTTTCCTATATTACGGCCAGACAAAATCAACATACAGTAATTGTATTTTTACATACACAATATTGATCTCCATATATTCTAGCTATTTGCATTAAGATATACTCCAAATTTACTTACAAGAGAAAGGTTCATAAACTACAATTTCTTTGATGTGAAACAAGCAGGATTCTGTCACCAATTATGTGTATTTCTCCTAGGGAAAGAGAATACCCATTATGAAATGAATTGTGTTGCCTGTTATTTTAATTGTATATTTTATTCCCAAACAGCACAGAATGACACTTCTACTTATAAAGTGATAAAGATGGATATGGAACAACTCAAATAGGAGAACCAGAGCCAATATTATTCAATTGCACTGAAACTACACCTTAGATGAAAGACTGATTTTGTATTACTTTACCAGTATTATCTTCCCTATTTATAATTTAAAAGCAATCCTACACTAAAATGGCCCATCAATCTCTTTTCCCCTCCCAGGAAGATATAGTTTGCTTTGGAAGGATGAAGCCTCTTTGAAGAATTTTCATCTTTTTTATGAGTTGTTGCAAATTCTGTTTCTGATTGTTAAAGTTTTGACTTTTTTATTGAGTAGGGTTCATTTCTAAGTAGACAGAATATATTGCAGTGGGAGGCATATCCAGCTACATCCCTGTGCAGGAAAGTGGATCTGCTCAGTACACATACACATAGGATTAACTGCTTCAACTTGCTGTTGGCAATAACACTTAAAAAAAACAAACCAAAAACAGTTAGAATGATGACAAGGTTGACTCAGCCTTCCATCTGTGGGTAAAATGAGGACCCAGATTGTTGGGGGTGATATGCTGGCTCTGTAAAAACTGCTTAGAGAGGGCTGTAAAAGCACTGTGAAGCAGTATATAAGTCTAAGTGCTATTGTTATAAGCCTATCTCGCTGCTGGGATGACAACAAAGATTAAGGAAATGTTGTGCGAACATAACAAACTAAAGAAGATATCAGAGAAAGCTTACAACATTGTCCAATGGTACCATATCTGCCCAACTGTATAAATATTTATAAAATATGCCCCATTCCAAGCACATCATAACTTTTTTTAAAATCTTGAAAGTATTACGGAAATATTTGTCTAAAATCTTATAACATAAACATCAGATTTGTTTGAAGAAAAAGAACTACTGTACTATATATTAAAAGCGAGTTTGAACCAGCTATGGAATTCAGCTTGCTGGCTTTATGCCCTAATTGGTGGATGAAAGGAAGGAAAAAGGGAGGGAGGGGGAAAGGAAGGAGAGAAGGAACCAAGGAAGTAAGGTATTTTCTGTTTACGCAAACCGCCTTAAAATATTACTCCACCCTTCATCACGTGAACTCGGGTGCTGGTCCTCCAGAATTCTCCGTTTACAAAACCACACGAAACGTTTCGGCTCTCACCCCCTCGCTTTCGATCTCTTTGCAAAACCAGACCCTGCACCTCCGAAGCCAGGCGCTTCGCTCATTCATTCAAAACGTTCGTTCAAATCGCGCGCTCGCCGCCGCCGCCGCTCCCGGACCCGGAAGTGTCGCAGCGGAGGCTGGCCCGCTTCGCAGGGCGGCGAGGGAAGGTCAAATGGCGGCTCTGCTGGGCCGGCTGGCTTCTTTAAGTTCCGTGGCCGGCAGGCAACGTGAGTCGGGAAGGTCGGGAGGGCGGAAGCCTACCCGGACTGGGGGTTAACTCTGGGGAAATGGCAGCGGGCAACGCTAACTGGTGGGACTGGGAAGATGTAGAATGTGTGTGTAGTTACGAGCAAGAGGGGGAGAAACGCTTACGCTTGGCGCAGGCAGTGCTTCCTTCGCCTGCAAATGGGTCAGAGGAGTATGTTCCTAGTAGAAGTTCATGCACAAGGTTTGCATTGATTGCAAACCGCCGATCCTTTGCAGAAATTGATGCATTTCGTCCCTGTCCCCGCTTAGGAGCGAGCCTGGAAAACCCCCTACAAAGCTCGCTCTGTTGGGCGATGTTTATTTTATTTATTTTTATTTTATTTATTTCGTCAAGCATGCATTAGATAACATCTATAAGAATAAACATAATTTTGGATACATGAAATGGATACGAATACAAGGGAACATTAAGACAAGGACGGTAGGCAGACTGGTGAGCTTATGCACGCCCCTGACAGACCTCTTAGGAATGGGGTGAGTCGACAGTAGGCAGGCAGTGGTTCCCAACTTGGGGCCCAATTTGATTTTTAATGGGGGCAATTTGAACTTTGTTTAAACCAAGTTAATGGCCTTTTAGGCTTCCTCCACATGAGTAGAGTTCACTTTTTGAGTAAAGTAAGAATTATATGGTGTGCATCAGGATTTTAGAGATGCTTAGGTGGGGCATGGCCAAAAAAAGGTTGGGAACCATTGGTCTAAGGTTAAAGTTTTGGGGGTTTAGGGAAGAAACCACAGAGCCATGTAGTGCATTCCAGGCGTTGATCACTCTGTTGCTGAAGTCGTATTTTCTGCAATCGAGTTTTGAGTGATTTACCTTGAGTTTGTATCTATTGTGTGCTCCTGTATTGTTGTGGTTGAAGCTAAAGTAGTTATTGACAGGTAGGACATTGTAGCAGATAATTTTATATACTACACTTAGGTCAGACCGAAGGTGTATAGTTGTGAATGATTCTACTAAATCCCAAATGTGCTTCTTTTTCCCCCTCCCAAGAGGCAACTGGACTT